TGTTTATCACATGGATAACGAAGTGCCAACCAAGAGTTTTTTTGCCAATATCAAATCTATTTTTTTTCCAAACACTCATCAAAATAATATTTATACATAAATAAGTAAAAACAGTCACGAATTTTTGGAGACCATTTTTTTGCATCCTTTTACTTATATTGTTATATGTATCTGGTTATGTGTGCCTATGTTAGCCTTTCCTTACTGAATTAGGCGGGGAAGGGAAGGACGCTGTATAATATAAATAACTAAAATGGAAAAGGAAAACCTAAAAATCAAGGAGTCAAAATTAAATTTAGCTACAGAAGGGAGTGATCCATACAAATTAATATGGCCTTATCTTCTAACACCGATACATGCTCATACTACCTATAGAAATCATCGTGTTTTCATTTAAATGAATTATGTTAATTCTATACACCGTTGTTTTAGGAATTTCAAGAAATTAAACAGAAATAACATGTTATGTTCTCCTTATATGGCATTTATTTTATGGTACAGTTCCGTCGAATTTTTATAGAACTGTGCATTACGTTTTACTGAAACCTTTATTTAACACAATGTCAGGAGTCAAGATAATGCAAGTATCTTTTTAACGAATTTCTTTACAAAGGACAATCGAAGGGCTGTTAAAAAAAACCAAAGTTTGGAAGCTAATGATGCATACATATATACATATCTTATTTAATACATGATCAAAATGAAACTAACATAATAGTCTTTTCTACCAAAGGCCAACTTCGCAAGAGGGTTTTGGAACCTTTGTAATGAATTATAATTTGAAAATGTGTCATATAACTAATAGTTTTGTAGTCAATTATGGAAATTATTTCTATTGTGAAGTCTACCAAAGCAGGATTTAATACTTCATCAAGTAATTGAATTTCATATATGCCATGTGATATTTAAATCCCCCTTTACAATTTTAGAATTTGAAAATTTATTTATATTTTATGGATGATGTCACCTGGCCGATGTTGTGAAATCATTTCCAAGAAAATAAAATTTTCGGTCATCACCGAATTTGAATTTCTTTGCGCCTCATAAAAATATTTATTATAAAAACCTTCAAACACATTAAAATTTAAGTAATATATAAGAGCAAAGTTTTTGGAACATATGTCAGTTTAGAAACTATATAACACTAAGACAAGTGCAGTCCCAAAAGAGTCCTTTCTTTAGAGGCACTTACAATGCATAGGACACACGTGCATGATAGCAATTACTCAAATCCAGCTCTTTGAAATCTGGACAATATTACATTGATTTACTTGATAAAAGCACAGTTTGATGCATAACATCAAGCTCAACTTATCGAAACTTTATATTTTAGTGTTTAATGAAAGTAGAACAATTTCTACAGTAATACAGCGGTGTACCCTTGGAGAATAATCTCTATTAGAACCGATGATACATTCTAAGTAAATGGAAAGAGTTTCAAAATTAAAACAGGAGCTGGAGTAAAAAAACCAGAATACATTACCTTTATTGAACTTTAATTTTGATGAATATTTTCGAGCTTCCATTCCCCAGACACGATACTTACAGATTAAAAACCCCAAATCTCATTGGTAGTTGACACCATTTTATTTCATTGAACACTTCCATAGGAAACCCCCCTGAAGACATTCCTTTGTGCAAAAACTATAATTCTGCCTCCGAAAAAACAATTACAAATATATACTAGTATTAAAAATCGGCAATCCAACAACAAAATATTTTTATATTACAAAGCTCCGTCAGAATGTGTGTTTTATGAACTAAATTATATATACATTTTTCCTTCAATTTTGAAATTCTTATGTGTAGTTTTAATAGATTTTCCTATTTCATTTTTCATTAAATTAGTTTGAATATAAGCTATATGCAACTTTCAAAAAATCTTTTCAATAGCTTGATCATGTTACGACGTGTAATTTGAGTAAAGATATTTAGCTATATGCAAAATATCAATACGCACGATACGGAAGCATACCATTTATATGTTATCATATTTATTACCTCATAGACAAACAAACAGAGAATTATTGAATTCATTTTACACCAATAATTTGATTATAAAAAGACAAGTTGCATGACAACGCAGTACATTTCAAAAACAATAAAACCTAAAAGGTCAAAAGTTTATCAGTAGAGGAGAAGATTGAATTCACTGTTAACATATATAACTAAGAAGAATATTTTTTGTTCTTTTTTTATTTTTGGTATATCGGTGAATGTAAACCGTAACCAAGTGAATAATGTCCTTGCTTTTGTTTATCAACTCTTCACGTTCGATCAGGACATTTCCGTTGTATGCTCTCTTACCAGAAGAAGGCACTGGTATGGATATATATGGGTCTACAGTAAACTTTAATAAAAATATCATTGTTTAAGTTTGATCAAATGTGTATTTTATGAAAACAATACATAATTTTGTTCTATTCTTTTACTTTGATTCTTGATGTAGCTCACTGAATCTTGAATGAAACCATTTTCAATTGTCACCTGTGCATATTGTCAGGGCCTTCAACACTGAGCCAAACCCATATCTCATAACAGGACCGAAATGACAAATGTCAATAAAATCAAATAAGAAAAATAACGACCTGATGTATGCACAAAGCGTTAAAACGAAAAACATATATGATACACAGCAACAAACGACAACCACTAAATTGCATGCCTAACTCGGGACTACAGAATGTGGCAGTGTTAAACATGTTTGCGGGCGCCCAATCCTTCCCCAACCTGGGACAGCGGTATAAAAAGCACCTATACAAATCAGTTGAAATGGGCTTAACTTATCAAATCAATACAAAACACAAAAACGACTCACAAAAACATGAAAGACACAAATAATAAATCTGAGAGTACTCGCAGTTACTGAAAGCTAGTTCAAAGCCAATAACACCCCCAAAAAAAATCATGTATCTTAGACTAAAATATCAATCAGTACACATCCAACTTCAAATGCAAAACCCTATAAGTGAATCAATATTAAGTCCACAAAATGCCATCTTTAATGACTTGACAACAGTCTCGTAATATTCTTTGTGAATAAGTCAGTTTAAAGGTCTGGTTATCTTTTGAGGTGAATGACGACATTTTTATGCTTTGTATAGAATATTGCCATAAACTATGGGATGTACAATACCTGAACGTATAAGATGTATGCACGTTGATTTATATTTACGAATGATGTCCTTGTAGCGACGATAACATTTAGTATAAGTTTTGACAAGTTTCTGAAATCGAAAAACCTGGTGTAATAATTTTTCAGTAATACAGAGAGTTTGTTTGTTAAAATCGAACACGTTGTTACATACACGAGCGAATCGAACAAATTGTTCAAAGAACAAATACACAGATTACGTTCTTTGAAATCCAAAACGTCACTACAGAAACGGGCAAAGCAAACAATTGGGAAATATAAACCCAGTGATATGGGGCAAAAGGAAGAAGGAAAATTAACAATAGAGAAAGGAAAAATCGTCCTTTTTGTCGTGAATTTTTGTGTAGAGTTTCCCGTGTAAAACTGAAATATCAAAATCTATAAAAGGAAGTGTATTGCTGTTTAAATTTGATTAATTTAAAGTAAGTTTCTAAGGGTAAATTTCGGCAGTATATTTAGAGATATCTTGATTACTTATTGAAAAAATATCATCAAAATAACGGAAAGTGTTGATGAATTTATCAATTATATGAAATTTAGACGGGTCTTTCCTGAGTTTGGCCATAAACTGTGATTCATTAGTTCACCAATGAGATACAAATGATAGAAATGTTATTTGATTTAATACAACAAAGTGGACATAACATTCGTATTTTATATCTATAATAGTTTTGATATTACCCCGCATTTTTTGTTCTTCGGTGCACTTCAGTGCAAAATAAACACAAACAATGACCCTGAAGTTTAAAATTTGGTATCTTATACTTCTCCATTTAGGAAGTATGGGATGTATAAATACACTGCCACATCCAAACCGAATAGGGTCGTTAAAACAAATGCCACTGGTAGAGAGAACGCGTAAAACACTTTCAACAACAATTTGAGATGTCCGTAGGTGATCTGTTGCGGGATATAATGCCTTTCCCTTTGAAATATAACGTTCTATTTCAGTGACAGTCTAAATTTCCCGCCTTTTATGCCGGTTAATCCATTTTTCAGAACCTATTTAGTATTAATTACTTGTTAATTTGATTTAGTCCTATAAATGCCATTGGATATTAGGCAAAACACAATCAATCAATCAATTAATCAATTAATGTAATGCACAAAAGTAGCGATATCTACATCTAACAGAGAATCCACCTCAAACCCGTGCTAAGAGTCGTCTTATAAACTTGCTGTGCATTGTGAGCTTTTTTTGTCGTTTGGAACACATCGCTGGAAATTGAAGATGAAGAAGAGCAATAAAAATGATGTTCCCTTGTACTTGGATTTGTTCAAGTACATGAAGGGGTTATTGTTTCATAAAACAATACAGTTGAGCTCTTCTTTTCCATTCATAACCAATGTACATTATAATGCAGATGCATTTATTACAAAACATTTTTTTCTTTAATTCCAAATCTCGTAAAATAATGTATTTTACTACATGTATTTCGTTTAAATCGTGTTTAATTTGACAGTATATTTAGTATCTAACATTTTATTTGAGATATTTAAAGGTATTTAATCATTTCAAAAAACTTTTTTTTTCTAAATAACAACAATCTTTTATGTAAATTTTCATTTACTTGATCTATAAATATAACAGACACATCTGACTGGTAGTTTCTTACGTGTCTATTCAAAACTTTCTAATAAAATGAATAGTATATATTATTAATAAAATCATTTTTGTTTCGTTTCAAATGTTTAATATACATTAAGTAAATATCTTATAGTATGATTTTTTCTTATGTTCAGTTTAAATTCGTCAGAAACTCTATATATAGAATTAAACGGAATAGGTTTGGAAACATTCCAACGATGAATTGTACCCAAATATAAATCTAGGTTTTCCAACTTTTTTTTTTTATAACACCGACTGTTTGTTAAGTATCAAATCATTTTACGGCGACCATCGCTATTGGCAAGGTATAACTTTAATTTAAATTATTTTTCGCATTTTAAAGGGGAAAACAGAATATATTGATTCAGTAAAATTCAAGGATTGCAATTAAATTGTTAAAAATAAAATTGATCTACATTTGGTGAAATTGATGTATAATAATTATTTTATATATTTCAGACACAAAGATGACAAAAGGAGAGCTATCAATGGCACCGAGGGAGTCAGGTGGTACTAACATTGATCAAGAATTGTCTGGACGTATGGTTCCAGATGCATTAAATAATTATCTGCCTTCAAATGAATATATGATCCAGGGTGATAAGGAAATTCTTTACTCTGGATACGAGATCCAAAAAGACAGTGGCAAACATTCGTTTCCTTACTCAGACGAAACTAATAATAACAATATCGGAGATTGTCAAATTAACATTGCCGAATATGTTCAGAATCTGCCAGATGGTAGAGTTCGAAGAAAACTAGCTAAAGCTCTCAGCACGGATGAGCCAGATGAAAACTTGGACATTGAGAATATGGATCATTATCTCCTTGTTGCTAAACGATCAAATTTACACAACACACTGAAATGTTGTGAAAATAAGTTAATATCCAATTTAAACGCAGTTAACTGTGATGCATATTATAAGCTTGCTGAAGAGTATGCGTTAAGAAATTTACAATCGGAGGCACTCTCAATTATTAAAAAAACAGAGAAACTCGACGAATGCAGCAACTTCACAAATCAGAACAATAACTTTTCCATTGAGGGAGGCGAAGTTTGCAACAATCAATGTTGCAATTCAACTCGAGGGTCTGTGGGCAGTTCGAGAACTAAAAACTATAAAAACTACTATTCTCTTTTTACATGTGGTAGTTGTGGGTCAAAACGGACTATAACAACCATTGTTTTTGACTCAAACATGAGAAAAAGATGCTATAGAGACATTAAAAAGGGAAATAATATCAGCAAACCGTTTCAATGCTGCTGTATTCAAGGTGATGAAAACAATCCACCCATAGTTTATTGGTCCTTTGGAAGTTCAGTGTATCAGTACGATCCCCTTCTAAACAAATGCAAGAAAAGAGCATCTCTTTACTGCAAACGAGCAAAGTTCAACATGATATCTCATGGAAATCATTGTTATGTGGTAGGGGGTGTATACATGAGTCGTAAAGTCTTGGAAATCGAAGAATACAACACGAAAAAAGATTCATGGAAAAAAGTGGCATACCTCCCTGGAGATTCTCTTCCGTTAAATCCATCATGTGTTGTTTTTGATGGCTTGATTTACATCTTTTCTGACATTCTGGACATACAAGGAAATCGCAAAACAAGTGCAACCGCTGTCTATGTCTTTCATCCTAGTACAAAAACAGTTAAGCAGGTGGCGGAGATTCCCTATTCGTTCAAACAGATGAAAACATGTGTTGTTGACTCTTTCATTTACATTGCTTCTGACAGGAAACATTTCATTAGATTCTGCCCAAGTGATGGGTCGCACTTATCATTACCGGACCAGACTCAGGAATGTAAAGACTTCGGCATGTTTACAATAGAGAAATCAATTATTCTGGCAGGAGGAGATTGTAGGGGAACAGAGTACAAAGACATTCACGTATTTTGTACTGTTTCTGGACATTGGGAAACATTGTCAGAAAAATTACCAGACGATATGGCTATTTATGGTGCTTGTGAACTGAAAATCCCCAATAGTGCAGGAACAATTGTACCGTTTTACGAAACAAATCTTTTCGAAAAGAGGTGACTAGGCTATATTTTGTTATTATTATTTGATAGAATAAAATGCTTTAAAATCAAAGGTATGGTCATTTATTTCCTCCCAAGAGAAAAGTTTTTTTCTTAATTTTATCTATATGATATCATTATTTATTTCTTAATGTTCAGTCTGAGACTACTATAACACATGTTATAGTAGTCTCAGGTTCAGTACGTGTTTTACTTTAAACTGTGTAGATATATAGTATAAAGGTATAACAAAAATACCGAACTCCAAGGCAAATTCAAACAGGGAAGTCCATAAAAACTGACAAAATCAGTTCCTCTTCCTCAAGCGGAACCAGGTGGTTTGTCCCAGACTCCCATGAATAAATCGTAATTTTTTGACAAATTATGGTCGATAAAAGGGGATGAACTTGATGCGTCGACAAATGGTAAACGACAGTGGTCATCTGGGATTGCTTGATTTGCTTGATTGGTGATTGCTAGACTCCGAATCAGCGCTAAAGGCAAAAGTTCATCTATGAAAAATATTCTTTAACCGTAAAACAAATGGCGATGTCGTCCTCAAAACTTAAAATAGAAGACTCCTACTTGACTGTTAAGTGGTTTCCTAGTCAACATCAACCCTTTACATAAAAAGTTCTAACAGGAAGCAAACACTATGATGTATCGTCAGTGTTATTCTTAATTGACCCTTAATGTCGAAGGTGCAAGTCAATAAAATATGAAGATCAATCATCCAGATCAGTGCGACTGGTTTAATGTTACGAATACGCTAATGTATTAAATTTGTATTTTATAATTACTAGTATTCACCGTTTACAAAACCGTCGTGACAAAATAAGAGCTGCAAATGAAAAAAAAAGTCGCACAGACACAATTTTAATGAATTAAAATCTATAATGAAGAAGGTAAAAATGTCTAAAAAGGAAAAACAACTAGTTAAGTTGCTATATTAGATGCACAAATATTGATTTAATATGTACCTATTAAGTCAGGGATTTCGTTACCACTAATTACTTAAAACCTTTACTAAATTCTTCCATAGATATAAGGATTTGGTTTGGAAGTTTGGTAATCAACTTATTCTAAAAGGTTACCAATTCAACACTATAACTAGATCTTTGAATATTGTTTTTATTGGTACTAATATTGATTTTCTAAGTAAATTAAAATCAAACTAAATATCATTTTATACACATATGCACATTCATGGCTCTACAATCTGTCGATACCTGTATCTTGGCATTGCACAAGATCCGGGTTTTCTTTGACTGTTAATGACGTCTTTACACTATATCCATTGGATGTTGAATGTGTACTGATTAATATTTTAGTCTTAGATGCATGTTTTTGTATTATTAGTTGTTTTTGGCTTCGAACTCGCTCTCAGTAACTGCGAGTACTCTCAGATCTGTACTTAGTGTCTTTTTGTTGTGGGGATATATAAGTACCTTTTCCACATCAACTCTGTTTTATACGACCGCAAAAAATTTTTTCGGTCGTATATTGGTATCACGTCGTCGTCGTTGTCGGCGTCAGCGTCGTCCGAAGACATTTTGTTTCCGGACAATATTTTTAGTTTAAGTGTATGGATCTCTATGAAATTTAATCAAAAGGTTTAATACCACAAAAGGAAGGTTGGGATTGTTTTTGGGGTGATGGTCCCAACCGTTTAGGAATTAGGGGCCAAAAAGGGGCCAAAACAAGCATTTGTCTAGTTTCGGGACAATAACTTGTGTATAAGTATTTTGATTGCTCTGAAATTGTACCACAAGGTTCAATACCACAAGTAGAAGGTTGGGATTCATTTTGGGGGTAATTGCCCAAACCGTTCAGGAATTAGGGGCCAAAAAGGGTATAAAATAAGCATTTTTCTAGTTTTCAGACAATAACTTGTGTTTAAGTGTATAGATGTCTCTTAATTTGTACCACATTTTACAAAAAGAAAATTTCTTCAAAATTAATTTTTTTGGGAGGGGGAATAAAAAAAAAATTTTGAGGGGGGGGGGCAATTTTTTTTCCTCAAAAGAAAATTCTCTTCAAATATTATTTTTTTGGAGGGGGTAACAGAAAAAAAATTTTGGGGGGAGTCAATTCTTTTTCCCTCAAGATTTAAGAAATTGTCAATTTTCCAAAGAAAAAGTTTGGGGGTCACAATTTATTTTGCTAATTCGTTTGTATATAGTCTGAAAACAGATTTACTAAGTATTGCGCAACATCACAGTGTATTGCACAACAGCAAGAAATCTTCAGTTGAATATAAATTCAAATCATACAACCAATTTCAAGTTCTTTGACTACATTTATTCTGTGTCAGAAACCTATAACGTGTCAAATATTTAATTACAATCCAAATTCAGACCTGTATCAAGCTTGAATATTGTGTCCATTTTTGCCCCAACTGTTGGACCTCTGCGGTCGTATCCAGCTGCGCTCGGCGAAGCAGTTTATTGTTATATGTATTTCTACATTGTATCGATCTAATCAGTTAAGCCCTTTTCAACTGATTTTTATATAGTTTGTTCTTATGTTGTACTGTTACGCCACTGTCCAAGGTTAGGGGGAGGGTTGGCGCGCCTTCAAACTAGTTTAACCCCGTCACATTCTGTATGTGCCTGTCCCAAGTTAGGAGCCTGTTTTTCAGTGCTTGTCGTTTGTTGCTGTATATCATATTTGTTTTTCGTTCAGTATTTTGTATATAAATTAGCCGTTAGTTTTCTCGTTTGAATTGTTTTACGTTTGTCATTTCAGGGCTCTTTATAGCTGACTATGCGGTATGGGTTTTACTCGTTGTTGAAGGCCGTACGGTGACCTATAGTTGTTAATTTCTGTGTCATTTAGTCTCTTGTGGAGAGTTGTCTCATTGGCATTCCGGCCACACCTTCTTATTCTTATATGACAGCTGTTCCTGTTATTAAACTTATCAAGGTATGCTGAAAGTCAAACATTAAAAAAAAAATCAGATGGTTAAACCAGAGAAATACTACTAGAAAAACTGGAAAACTACATATTTGGAATATAAAAATAAAGGGATAACCGGAGAGACTTACACAATCTCCTAATGGACCGATACGGACGACATGTTCAGAGAATAATCATTACGACTATTCTGGTACCTTTGTCTCTAAGGACCACAGAAACCTGGATGTTTAGTGAGTTGAGACACATACACATTGCTCCGGTCAAACAATTCGTGAGTAAGAAACTAGTGACCACTGACAAAACGAAGTCCGATTCAAACCTATCAACTGTTAATAAGATCTTTTGTGAAATGCAGAAACGATTTTGACAAATCAAAATAGCAGTCATGGATATACCTTACACACGTCATCACGAATCTGTTATAACTACATTTGAGTACATAGTTATACAAAACAAGACCTGATTACTCTTCCTGAATACTCAAATTGCTTATATAGATTCAGTTTTGCCCATGTTAGGAAGTTTTACATTTGCATGTATGTTTATGATTATTATGTGCAAGATTTTCCTTTTTTTGACGTCCGATCAATTTTGAAGAAAGACAGTCGTTTCGGTAAACCTAAATGTTTATAACAAGGAACACATTGGTGTATCATATTACGGATTTTATTAAAATTTATTCATATGACTTATAAATTTCCGTCTTTTGCTGTCCTTTCAATGTAGTTTCGGTATTACTAAATGTTTATGACACATTTATAATAGTTATCAAGGAACAAATTTGTGTTACTAAAATTTATTCATATGACTTATAAATTTCCGTCTTTTGCTGTCCTTTCAATATAGTTTCGGTATTCCTAAATGTTTATAACACATTTATAATAGTTATCAAGGAACAAATTGGTATATCATATTATGAATTTTTTCAAATATATTCATATGACTAATAAATTAAAGTGTTAACTAAAGACCTTGATAACATAGAAACCCACGATCTCAAGAAAGCCAGAATACTTGGAAAAGGTGCTAAATTTAGTTGTTACAATTGCGCATGTTACTGGTGTCAGATTTAAACAATATCAATACTTTTTGGTACATAAAATTACAACCAGTTTGTGCGTGTTTGTAACTGATAAATACATGGCATTTTCTATGCCGAACTGGTATCACTATCAGACTCCTTTATCGGACTGAGAGCTTTAACTCGAGGTGTGTTATGGATCGAGAGATGATATGTCTTTTTTGTTTTTATCTATTTGATGCCAGTTGACCAATGCAATTAAAATTTAATAATATTCTAATATGACGTTCGTCTTTCGGCTTGTAAACAAAAGCCATGTTCTTTTTTTTATCAGAACAAGGGGTGCACGTGATTGACGTCACAATTAAAATTGCAACGTCAGTTCTATTTTGAACAACGGCAGAGATCAAAATGGACTTTTGTGTTGGTGTTGCTGGTTAGGAAATTAAATAAAAGAGTTCCAAAAGTAAGTTTACATCTAATTTTTCTTTTTTTAATCGTGAAACGGCGGGTTTTCTATAACGTGTTGGCTACATCGAATAAAAATGGTTGCCTGCCTTTCGAATGTGTCTTACAGGTTTGATTCGAAGTACTAAAGTTCAAAATTTTCTATTAAAATCGAAATAATTGTATCATGCCATGCTCTATGATCATTTTAACATGGGCATTATATTTGTCACTATTTTACACTTTGCTAACGATTGGTATAAAGATATTGACAAACAAAATGGCTACCGATTTTAAAATTAGCATAGAACATGGCATGAAAGAATTATTTGGTTAATATATTAAGTCAATATAAATAAAAGTATACTGTACTGTATTAACATAAAAGGTCATGTTTGCTTTGCCATAAATTTGCGTCCGATGTCTGTCGTCCGTCGTCGAAAAGTTTATTAAAAATATTTTCCATTGAAACTGCTGATCCATATATTATCATTTTTTTTCTAAATGTTTCTCTATCCGGGTATTTGATTCATCAACGACGATGGCCGCTGTTGCTAAAAATAGAACATAGATGAAAATGCAGTTTTTGGCTGATATCTTAAAAAACTAAAGCATTAAGAGCAAAACTGATTTGGTAAAAGAAATCAGTAGATCAAGATCTATTCCCTATCAATTTTCCAGAAAAA